TTGACTCGGAGACACGATGGGTTCAAGGACAAATAGGTAAGTAGCTCCAAAGTCCTGGTAGCGGCGGTCCCCACCCGGGTCCCATGCGGGAGTAAGAAGAAAACTTAGATGCATGTGGGTGCTCGTTCGATTGGAGCCCATGACATAAAAGGGAGTATGGGTAGCGTTTTTTGTTCCGCCCCTTGCCCGAAGAAACGAGGCTCGCGGTGAGGACCGTGAAGTTTTCGAGAAAGGGTTGAACTTCGATGTTGGCGTTTTGCGATGTTGGCAAAAGCCAAGTTTATAGAGTTGAGTGTACGTGGGAGACTGCCAGTGGAGGAGCTGGGAATCAGCGATATTAATACCGCTAAACCAAGTCCAAAATGAAAGTCCCTGTAGCGGTGGTCCGCACCCGCATTCCATGCTTCTCCAGTTCGCTTAGACAAACGTACGTGCGGGTGCTCGTTCGATCTGAGCCTGAGACATGTGATAGACTGGCTGCTTTTTTATTTTTATTCTCCTTTTTGCTGTCGGTATAGCGTTGTATCGATAATTGAAGAGCGGTAAAGCATGTATCCACGTACTCGTCGTCAAGAGATTGTTACTTGTTCATTATTGGGAGATGGGACGAGTTAAGATTCCGCCCCATCCACAATTCAAAAAAACCTAACCCTGCAGAGGAAAGTCAATGAAGATGACTAGCGAGCCAGAAATAAAAGCATGGCTATCGATTTATCACCCGACCCCGGATCGAACGGGGAGCTCCTGCTTTCAAATGTTGCAAATACCGGGGGCATTATCAGCTGGCGCATACATATGCTATCGGGTGGTTTGGAGTAACCGTCATTTTGTGCTCCTGAAGGCCACTGGCATTGTCGACATAGTTGACCTTTGAAATGCTCCCACGGATGGATCGTATAAATGGTTCTAAAACCCTTCCCTCAAGTGCGAAGTCAACCGAGAGAAAATCGAGAGAGAAATAAAAAGATGCACAGGTATAGGGACTATCACCCAACCCCGGATCGAACGGGGACCTCCTGCTTTCAGATGGAATTCGGGGCATTTTTCGCAGGCGCGCGCCATGCGCCAGCGGGTGGGCGGATGGTTATATGTCAGCCAAAGATGTGTGCACGAAGCCGTAAAATTGCACGTTTGAAAGTCCTGGCGCCGTTGAGGATTAAAATCTCACACTGCAGTGGAAAGTCAACCAAGATAACATCAGAGAAATAAAAGCCTGGTCCAGGGGATCGATCTACTACTACCCGACCCCCGAACGGGGACGTCCTGCATTCAAACACCATGCTCGAGATGAGATATTTTTCGCAGGCGCACTTCATGTGCTACCGGGTAGCCAGGCTGGACGGCTTGTCCTTGAGCCCGATGTGTGGTACAAACCGGTGATATATATTGTCATGCCCGTGAAATATGAACGTGTTGTTGCGGACACGGCGAGAGCAAGCCTAGGGGCGTTGTAGTGAAAGTCAACCAAGAGAACATCGAGAGAGAGAACTAAAAATATGGCGATCGACCTAAGTATTACCCGACCCCGGATCGAACGGGGACTTCCTCAAGCGTATGATTGCGGCGCGTCAATCGTCGGCAGGTGCGCGCCATGCCCTATCGGGTGGCTGCCTGGCTTGCAGGCAGCCCGATTCGTGTGAGCAACTCCGTAAAATACATTGGCATGTATGTCGCTTGACTGGTGTTGCAACATCCTGGCGTGAGGACTTAACAACAATTCCGCCCTGCAGTGGGAAGTCAACCAACAGAACATCGAGAGAGAGATAAAACCAGCTCAGCATTATCCTATCACCCGAACCCGAATCGAACGGGGACCTCCTGCTTTTAAACGCTATGATATCTGACTATTTTTCGCAGGTGCACTCCATGTGCTACCGAGTGGCTATATGGGCGATATACTGTCCAAAAATTACTAAAAATTTGCAGGGTTTTTGGCTGCAGCTTGCACCTGCAATGTTGAGTTTGGATGACATCTCGCCAGGCTGATATCTCACATCTGGGTTACATCTGGCGATTCGGGTTACATCTCGCGTCCCCGGGTTGCATCCCTGGGCGGCTAACGTCGGATCAACTGGGTATCATGATTCATAATCAGTTTGCCTATCGCCTCAATTTGGAAAGCCGCCGGAACCTCGAATCCATGCCTTGCAGAATTAGTAAGCTTCTCGGACTCTACCCCACTGACCAGGCATCTTATTCCCAGCTCAAGGAGGGCGTGAGCTCCACTCCCGTGAAGGAATGCGCGAAACCAGCACTTTTATATCGTTTTTTTTGCAACCAGCCCGGTGAAAGTCGGATGCTGTCATTTAGTGGGGGGATTGGGACCGTGAGCCCTTCAATTCATCGGGTAAGAGTACAAAAGTGTTCCTGTCGATCTCAAATGCTTTCCAACGCCGATAATTCAACCACCTTCCTTTTATATCTTTCGGCAGTTTAACGGCATCATTGTTGTCATCACTCCCATCAAGATCACCGAACTTTTTCAACAACAAGACCTTCAGATGTCAACCTCCAGCCCTGCAGCCAGATGCGGCTCTCCGATAATCACTTGAGACCCTTTGTCCTAATTGTAAGTAGTTTCAATAAAACCCGGGAGATGCGACCAAAAACCCGGTATCTACCAAGATGCGACCATCAAATAATTTTTGGACAGTATATAAGTATGTATGGGCGATATACTGTGCAAAAATTAGCGAAAAGTTGCAGGGTTTTGGGTCGCAGCTTACAACAACATCCTCAATATTGGGTGACATCCCCCATGCTGGCTTACATCTTGCATTTGGGTTACATCTCGCTGCAGGTGCGTTGCATCTGATTTCCCATCAACATTGACATTATTTGGAGTCTGATCTGATCAGCTCGGGTATCGGCTCAACGATCAAGGCTTTATTCCAAGGCAGGCAGAGAGATGGGATGTCCCAGATGGTAAATATCAGGTCACGCTACCAGTCAGGAGTATGTGGGCGCCATGAGCTCGAAACGGTCTCGGTGTTTTTGTCAGATCGGTGTTTTCAACCTCCTCTTCGTTGATGGCCAATGTAAAGATATCGTAGCATCCATTTGCATGAAACACGATTTTAAGAAATGAATAGCAGTCTTGACCACCCAATGGCGTCTGTTTCAAGCATGGCTTGATGTTTTAACAAGGCAAACTGAGTCCGTATCACTGTTCCGATCAATGATGCTGTGATATCAAATGAATTTTCAACCCCAACCTCAACCAAGTCTCCTAGAAGCAAGCCAACATAGATGTAGCAGCTAACCATCCAATTGAAACTCACAAATAATTGGGTGCAACCATTTAGCTTAGTTGTAAGCAGTTTAGTGAACAAATAAAAGATGCGACCGAAAACCCTGTTTCCACCGAGATGCGACCATCAGATAATTTTTGCACAGTATATGTGCGCCATATGGCTACGTGGCTTGTAGTGGAGCCCGATTTTGTACACACCCGTGAAACATCGGCATGCCCGGTCGCTTGAAGGTTGCAAAGTCCTGGCGCCAACACTACCCTGCAGTGGAAGGAAGGTCAACCAAGATAATATCGTGAGGGAAATAAAAACATGGGGAAAGACCTGCTACCCAACCCCGGGTCGAACGGGGTCGTCCCGCATTCAAACTACATGATTCAGCAATTTTTTGCAGGCGCACTCCGTGAGTGTGCTATCGGGTGGGGGAATGGCTTGTACTCATCATTCACGAAAGTAACCGAAAATCTGCTCATCGTGGGAGAAATTTGTAGTTTTTTCTGAGCTTGAGCACTGGTGAAAACTCATCTGGATATATTCTCGCCCTCCTTATTGAAGTCGGTGTCAAAAAATGTGTGGATAGCCTCTGTAGCTCAATTTATTTCGGCGCATCTGATTTTGGCTATATATGTCAAAAACTGGAGCACCAGGTTTGTCCTGTAGACATACATAGAGGTTTCTGCAGCTGGAACTATACAGTAGCATACATTGGACATTACCCAAGACACAAAACTCAAGTAAGGTGACTTGATACCCATCAACAAGGCATTTTCACCGACAAGCCATATCTGTATGGATGGCCCACAAATTGCACTGAGGAAGAAATTGGAAAATTGGACCTGGAACAGCTCAGCCTTGTCCAGAAAGTGACTGTATCATCTCCTAGGCACCATTCCATATATTCATGGTACTCTGTCGGACGATTTACCACCTGAATTGCTTGTTCAGCAATTTATCCTGGAATTCTGCAGATAATGTTGTGATACAGGGTGGGGTGAACATCAGTTGCACAAGCAGCTGGATAAATGTACCAGAATGCGCAGAATAGGGCTAATTATCCATTCCAGAACATCCAACCCTGAATTCAGGGTCCGAGTATTTTTATTTGTAGGTTCTTTCGACCGTTAGATAAGGCATCAGAATGTGAACACGGGTAGCCAAACTTTTTTGGCCTCAGGAGACCAATATTGGGTCAATGCCCCCAAAACAAGTCATGTTATCTGTTGCTAACACATAGGTATTAGGTTATAGGATATGGTTGAGTTCGGGTTACGTAATCTGGAGAAGCAAATCAATTTCCGGTTACTTCCGTGAATGACGAGTAGGTTAGCCTGATTCGTGTGCACAAACCTATGAGATATATTGGCCTGTCGCTTGACTGGTCTCGTTGAGGACACGAAGAGCAAGCCTGGAAAGTCAAGAAGTAAAACAGGAGAGAGAAATAAAAAGATGCGCGAAGTGTTGGATGTATCACCCGACCCCGGGTCGAACGGGGACGTCCTGCGTTCAACGACATTTACGGCTATGAGATCTTTTTCGCAGGCCCACTCCATGCGCTATCGGGTGGCTGCCTGGGTTGTATGTAGCCTGTAGGTGAGCCCAATTCATGTGAGCAAACCTGTGAAATACATAGACATGTTGCTTGACTGGTGTTGTTGAGGACACGGAGAGAGCAAGCCTGCACTGCAGTAGGAATTCAACCAATATCACAGCGAGACAGAGATAAAAAGATGCGCTCAGCGGTATTTTCTATCACCCGACCCCGGTTCGAACGGGGACCTTCTGCTTTCAAACGAGATGAGCGTCACTCAGCTATTTGGGGCAGACGCACGCATTGTGCTATCGGGTGGATAGCTTGTAGGCGAGCCCGATTCGTGTGCACAACCCCGTAAGATGCATTGGCATGTCTCTTGACTGGTCTCGTTGAGGACACGGAGAGCCGGCCTGGAACGTCAAGAAGCAAAACAGCAAGACAGAAATAAAAGATACACCCCGCGGTGCCGTGTATAACCCGACCTCGGGTCGAACGGGGACCTCCTGCTTTTAAACGCTATGATATCTGACTTCTTTTTCGCAGGCGCACGCATGTGCTATCGGGTGGCTACAACAGTTGTCATTGGGCACAAGCAATGTGAGATTGGTATGCCCGGTAGCTTGAACGTTGCAAAGTCCTGGTGCCGCAGAGGAAAGTCAGGGGGAAGTCAACCAAGATCACACCGAGATTGAATGAAATAAAAAGATGCGGGAAACGATGGACTTATCACCCGACCCCGGGTCGAACGGGGGCCTCCTGCTCTCAAACCCCGATCGCCGAACCATTTTTCGCAGGCGCACGCGTGTGCTATCGGGTGGCTTCATGGGTTGCAGGTGAGCCCAATTTGTGCGAGCGAAACCCAGGTTTTCTGTGCATGAATTTACCGGAGTGAGCAGAGTGAAACCAAAAACAGAGCTCAAAAGTAAGACGCATCTAGTACATACCAGGGTCAGGCGGGCGAAACAAAAAGGTAGATTGTCGCCAACGCATCACCCGACCCCGAAGCGAACGGGGACCTCCTGCATTCAAAGGCCACAGGACCTAGATTCAGCTATTTATTTCTCGCAGACGCACTTTGCGTGCTACCGGGCGGCTACGGGGTTGTATTCGAGTCCAATGTGTGCGATGGTTTTAACGTGTTCTGTGCATGAATTTCGCCCAGAAAACTGCGGAGGCAAATCGAAAACAGAGGTTGAGAATGTTGCGCACCGGGAGAGAAAAAGTCAAGTTATCACAGGTGTATTACCCGACCCCGAATCGAACGGGGACGTCCTGCTTTGAAGTTGCGTCTAAATCCATTCTATTTTGTGCAGGCGCACTCCATGTGCTATCGGGTGGCTGGGTACTGAGTTGAGGTTGAAAGGAAGCCTTGACTCGGAGGAAATCTTCAAAGATACACCAGTCTGGCGCCGGCCACCGAGCGAAGAGACGCAACCAATAAGGTGCGCGATAAAGCAGAGGCCGCCCAATCCTCGAAGCCGCCCAATATCGCCCGCAATCCATGGTTCGGGGAGGTTCGGGACAAGATGAACCTACGCACGTGCCCTTCCGGAACGCATTCCCGAAGCGAGCCGCATTAGGCGGAGGAAGTTGGGCGGAGGTGGATCTTGTCTCTGCCCACCACAATCCAAGCCTTCTGTATCGGAGGAACGAAATAATGTTGAGATGGTGACCCGATCCGTCTCAGCCCCTATCGGGTTGATATATACCTCGTTCGATCGCCCCGCATACCTCAGTCGTTCTACCACTACCGTGACCGACTGAGGTATGTTCCTCTACTTACTCACCGTTATTCCTTTTACTTGCGGACTCGTTACCTGTAGAACTCACTCTATATTATCTGTCTACAGGTACTGTATTTAGACTAATACAGTCGTTCTACCACTACCGTGACCGACTGAGAACTCACTCTATATTCTCTGTCTACAAATAAGAGGCTAGCCGTAGATTCAACTCAATAGTAGTCCGCCCGGGGCCCCCAGTCATTGTTGGGTTTGAACTTTGGGGTGTGGAATTCCAGTGCCAATCAGCTTGGAGAAAGCCTTGTCGAAAAAGACATCCACGATCAGGCGCCATGACAGAATCCATCCCTAGATTTTCATCCGCAACGCGATTGTCATTGTACGACGGCAAACTACACCAGGTACTGATACCACTACTACTCCGTCCCTCCCTCTACAAGTAAGTGTACAAAGTAAAGTTACATTGATATTTGGTTTAGATTGGTTTATCTCCTCTTCTTCGTGCGCGTGCGCGCAGCCGCGCCCTTGCGGCGCGCCGCCTCGGCCTGCATCGCCGCCTGCTCCTCGTCCAAGAACCCCACCACGGATATATCGTCGAACCGTTCCGCCTCTTCCACGGCGAGCTTGTCCTCGGTCGCCCACCCATGCCACTCTCCCTCTGCGCCGCCATCCAAGTCAAGGTCGATCCGCTCCTCGTCTTCGAGCGCGCGCGCGCTCGTCGCGGGCGTCGACACCGAGGGGACGGAGCCCTCGCCATTGCGCGACGTCGTCGCCGACAACGCATCGTCGTCCTCGCGGTCCGCGTGGACGCGCAGGAAGACATCCTCCCCACCAGCAGCCGGCAGCGCGAAGTCCTCGTCCTCCTCGTCAAATTCGAGCGGCATCGATGCCTCCACATCGTCTCCGCCCTTTCGCGGCTGCGTCGGCGGCGAGCGGGCGAGCTGCTTCTGCCGCTGGTGGCGCATCTCGCGGCGCAGACGTCCGAGGCCCTCCGCGACGCCGTCCCCGAGCCCTGCGACCGCACGCACGGGCATCGAGCTGCGGAAGGACGCGGGCGAGCCGTTGGGCAGCATTGGCAGCACGGGCGGCGGGCGGGCGTCGCGGTAGTGCGTGCCGGCGAGCGCGCTGGCGAGCGGCTCGTCAAAGGAAGAAGAAGTGCGGCTGCGGCGCCGGATTGCGCGCGGGGAGGATGAGCCGTACCCCTCGACAAACGCCTCTCCCCCAGCGCCGGAGCCTGGCCCGAGCGCGAAGGCGCTAACTTCGACTTCGCGCCGGACGTCGATCTTGGCGCCGCCGATGACGAACTGGTACCGTCGGATGAGTGCGTGGTAATCTTCACCCAGGGCGTAGAACGCAAATTGGTGCGAGAGATAGATGGCACGCGGGAGAACGCGCGGTGTGCTGGTGAAGGTAGAAAGCTCCGCTTGGGCGAGCCAGCTGTACGTGTATTAGTATACTGAGTATCACGATGGAAAACGACGGAAAGCAAGACTTACTCCTCCTTGACAGGTCGCCCCTCGGCAAGATATACTTCCTTCGCCTCGGCACGCCGGATCTCCGCCCACCCGCGTCTCCTCCTCAAGCTCCACGTCGCCACCACTGACTCCTTCCCACCCAGCTCCCCCACCGCGCCATCCCCAGCACCAGCACCGCCGGCGCCACCTCCGCCGGTAGCAGCCCCACGCGCATACGAGCCCGCATACCCCGGCGGGCTCGCGCTCATGCTCATGCCCATGCGCCCCGCGGCCTTGGCGGCGGGCAGCGATACACTGAGCGGAATCTGCATTCCCGCGACGGCGGTATGCGGCGCCTCGAATGTCAGCGTTATGCGTCGCAGGCTAAGCACGCCGTCCGCGGGGTCGAAGACGAGCACGTCCTGCACACCGCTCGGCGCACCACCATTACTCGAAGGCGAAGACAAGGCGGGGCTCACGGGCGAGCGAAGCCCGACCACAGGCGCACTGGCGGGGACAAACGCAATCGCGAGCGGTGCGGGCGGGGACAGGGGCGGCGCGTCCTCTGCTCCATGCGGAGGCGGAGGAAGCCGCATCCGCACGAGCGCACGCACCTCCGTTGTGCTCTCTTCCCCACTCCCGCTCCCAATCACCGCTCCCGCTGCCACCCCTGTAACCGCATCCCGCACCTTTCCTCCGAGATGGCTGCGCACGTCCGCGCGCCCGCCATACGGATTGACCGCAAAGACGTGCACGGTCCTCCGCCGCGTCGCGAGCGCAACGAATCGGCCGTCCCGCGCACCCGCAAGCGCCTCGACGACCGCGCCTGTCCGCCCGCGACGAAGAGCATACAGGTGCGTAGGCTGAGGCAGCCCCTCCTCCGCCGCCATGGCGGGAGAAGGGCGTAAACCCCACACGCCCGCACCGAGCCCGTCGCGCCGCACCACAAACAAACGCGTTCCGTCCCTCGAGAAGGCCAGGCTGCCCACAGGCGCACGTCCGGCCTCGAAGGCATGCACGTCTCGCACTCGCCCCCGTTCCCCGGCGAGCAGAGGAGCGAGATCGACGACGCGCACCCAGCGTTCCCCGCCTCCTTCCCCTCCCCCTCCAGCTACAGCGGCAAGCGCGCCCGCAAGGGGCGGGCTTCCGCCTGTGAAAACGCTCGCAGCAAGTGCGCTGGCGGTGGGCGCGGAGCGCGAGAAGAAGCGGCCGAGGGTGCGGCCCCAGGTCGCGAGCGGGGCGGCGTCGTGCGCGGGGAGCGGCGCACTGGGTGGGGGCGCGAGGAAGGCGAGGAGTCGGCCGTGCAGCGCGGAAGTGGGGGTCTGTGGGGGTGCAGAGCTGCCTGGAGGCTGTGAGGCGGGTACGGATTCGCTGGAGAGAGGCGCGGTGTACGACGGGAAGGATTGTCGAGGTAAGTCTGAGACGGGCGGCGAGGGCGGGTGTGGCACAGTGAGCGCCGCCGCGGGGAAGACGTGCAGGATACGCAAAGAGGGCCGCGCGAGGACGACAAGTGCGGGTGGGGAGTGCGTAGTCTGTAGCGAGGAGGAAGAATCAGCATGCGTGCATGGAAGTGAGAGGAATCAAAAGGAAAGGGAGTTTGTGTCCAGAGATCGTGAGAAGGAGGAAGAGAACGATGCATTCGTCCATCCTCCTGCGTGCAAAGAAGCAAAGAGGCAAATACTCACCACGACAACGACCCGCTCTGCCACCTCAAACGAGCAAGGCGTCCCCACCTCTCCTTCCTCTCCTCCTCCACCTTCTCTTCCGCCTTCCCTTACTCCTCCTCGTCCTCCTAAACTCTCAGCCTGAGGACCATAAGTATACGCATCCTTGGCCGCACGACCATCTCTCGCCGCCGAGGCGGGGAAAGACGAGGCAGAAGGGAACGCGGCCCGTGCGACGACGCGGCCAGTCGATAGGGCGTACACGTATAATGCATGCGGCGTCCTGGAAAGAGGAAAAGCGTCAGTGTGAAGTCGAAAAACAATAGAGGAGAGGTAGAGGAGAGAAGTGAATGAGAGGGAAGTAAGAGATGACTCCCCAGCATGCGAGTATGAATACCGTGGCCGCTATGTCCGGATCGACATCCACGCCCCACGCACCACCCGCCGAAGATCGA